GCCCCTGGAAATCTCGGGGGCCCCTAATGGTAAGTCCGCCTCTGACCATCAGCCATCAGACTCCACAACCACAGCACCCAGAACCTCCAACACCCGCTGACCCGCTGACTAAGACCGGTTTAACTCCAGTTTATGACGCACTAACTTTTTGCTATTTATATTGAATTTGCACATTTACAGTTTAGTTTTTTAGTCAAAGCTGCTTAAAATATTTGCACACCATTTTACTTGCATATCGCATTTAGTGTATATATTTTTATTTATAGTCTATATATTTTATTATATTTTGTAATATTCTCATTTTGTGATTCTTATTGTACTTCCACTTCTGTAGTCTTTGTATTACATTCCCCAATGCTGCTGTGTGTAATTTGAATTTTCTCCCACGGGGGATTAATAAAGGTAAATCTTATCTTATTATAACCTTCCTCCAGGGAAGATTTAATGCAGGACTGTTGCATTAGGCTGTATTAGTTTCAGCTAGGTGAACCTGATAATCTTTCTAATGATTGTATATCTATATCAAACTAAGAGTAAACTAAAACCAGTTGTGAAACAATATGCTAGTTCAAATGAAAATCAGACTTGAACTGAAAAAACCTTTTGTACTTACACAATTTAAAAAAAAATGTAGGAAAAGTCAATACAACGAGCATAAAGAGCCGTTGGTGCATGTTAATTAATGGGATGTCTACATGACTGTGTTCACAAAGCGTTTGTATTGTGATATATCTTAACTTATATTATAGTTAAAAATGAAAAACTAAAGCTAATACTGAAACTAATTAAAACTAAACTATTTAAATAACATTTAATAAACAAAAAATGAATTGAAACAAGCAAACCTACTCTGGAAACTAAACTGAATGCAGTCAGTCAGTATGAGGACTTAATAAATGTATATTTTCCTTTTACAATCTCTTTGTCTCACTCAAAAGTTCATTTTTAAATTAACTGAACAGTTGCACAATATGTCTCCACTCTGCAGCCTCAGGCTCTTAAAACGTTTACACACTGAAGATTAACAGCAACATACAAAGTCTGTACAAGACTGTTGCTTGATTATTGATAACTACCTTTACCAGCTTTTAAAATTATATTAAATGTCAAAATTGAAAATTATCTGATTTGCTGAACTTAAGATTTGCGGGAAGGGGGTGGGTTTTCTAGCACGCTTCAAGGGGTTCGTCCTTGAGGATGGCCCATGTGCTATGTGTGTGTGAGGAATTTTAAGGCGTTGGAGGGTAAGCCCGCGCTCTCCGCTGGCGTATTAGTCACCCTCCTCTTTTGACCATTTTCTATTGCAGCTCGGAGTTATTCCAGCAACAATATATTAAATTAGCTGGCTCCTCGAACTACTGGGGAGAGCCAAACGAACTGAGATCAGGAAGGGATATGTGTTGCGCTCCAGAGGGGGTGTGTGAGCAGGTGTATTAGGGTGAAGGAACCTTGGGCAAATAAGCATACACGCTGATCTTTAGCGCTAAAAAGAACCGAGGAGGTAGTGTGGATGGGCACCAGTCGACAGGGGGTGAAGAGGGTTTTGTGTGGGTCATAGTGACGCTATTATACACGCAGATCAGAGAAGCCCTCAACTGACGGTAATGGGTGAGCGAGAGAAAGGCAGAGAGAAGGAAAACAGACATTGGTGAGAAAAGGTGCCAAGTATAGGAGAAAGGATAGAACGTAGAAATGGAGAGCACGCATTGGTAGAGGATGGGAGAGACGAGAAGGGACACAAAGTGGTGGTCCGATTACATCCCGCGGAGGCGAATGTGACGACTTGAACTCTTTTAAATCGGAATGATAACTTTTAACTAAACGACGGCTTTCCGTCCCCTAACTTCCTCCGCAAAGATGAAGGTGGGGGACAGCAAGGTTGCGTCTTCGTGGTGTTCATTAATTACTCCTCTCAGTACCGCGTCTCCTTTTCCTAGAAATAAAACAGCTGCTCCGTTGGTGGTTTTTACAGAGCAACGAGAAATACGACATGACCAATCGTTGTCCCTTGTTCAAGTTCGCTAAGGCTATAATTTCATAACCTAATTGTAAATATAATCACCAGAGGGGCAGGCCTCACGACGCTCCTACACGACACTCCTCCGGCTCTATGTATCCTCTGGCCGTGCTCCTATGATTTCACATTTCATTGCTCCCTCATTTTCTTTACTCCACTTTTTAACATTCACTTTGCCAAGCTGTTTTCTTGCTGTTCTCGCCTTATCTCTTTAGCCTTACCTTTCTCCTCTTACTCTTCACTCCCTGCCTGCTCCCACCTTTACCACTGCTTTCAAAGTCCTCCTGCGCTTCCTTATATCTACCCCCGTGTCCTCCTTTACTGATCTCCAAGCTTGTTGCCTCACAGTGTTCGAGGAGCACTTTTATAAGCCTTGATTCCCATGGACTCAACAAAATGCAAATTTTAAGTGAAAGATTACTAAGCAACGGCATTGCCTTATTAAATTACACTCAATGCAGGGCTCCTACTGACAACCCTTGGACTTCGAGAAAATCCTTGGAAAAATTTGGCAGGGTCAGGGATTTTCATTTTGCTTTAGGAAAGATATATGGGATTTTTAAAACTCATCATGGATCTTAGAGGTAATTATTATTGATATGGTGCAAGCATGCATATTATCCCACTATTTCTACAGTTGGCGTGACCCACCCACTATGCCCGGGATGTGTAGGAGGGTCTTTCTCTTCATTCTTACTTCTCCGCCTCCCCTCCGTTTCTGTGGTTATATATGGGAAGACGCTTGATTACCGGTGCCTGGTGAAGAACCCACAGACCAACCCACCCAGCACTCTCTCGGGGCTTATATGCGTTCAGCAGCTTGGTCATTTGTCGGCCACGTGGGGTGTGGCAGAAATAAATTAGCCAGGCAGTAGCTCGTTGTTTCGCATTTTGTTATTTTCCGACAGGGCCTGGCAAGGGTAGGAAATCAGGATGATTAGTAACCCATAGCCTGTCTGTTCTCGTTGTATGAACGTAACAGTAACATATTGCAAGTGCGGGTGCCAAACAAAGCCTAATGGCGCTGCCAAATGCGAGATTCTTTTTATCTGGCCTTTTAATTCCTCTTTGGTTTCTTAGCAAAAAAAAACAAAAAAGGGTTTCAACTGTGTGTAAGCAGGTCAGCTACTGCAGGAAAATGCTCGCTCTGCCACACAAACTCTTTTCCCCCCCTCCTTGTCCGCAGGTTATCTATATAGCTCTGTTCACTCTAGGTGCACATACACGTAAGTCGGGAATATTTTAGACATGTACCTATGTAAAGATCCCTCATGGATTTTTGTAATGGCTCGTTATATTGGCTGTAGTTTCTACATCGCATTCCTTGGGAGGCTGGGCTACTTCAATCTTTTGTGTTTTCAAGGTCCTCGGCCTCACTTGCCTTGAACCAAAACAAATGGAATT